TTTGTCCAGTTTGTTACCAGGATCGAACTCCACTGCAGTGTCATTTACTATGACTGTCTTTATTATGTATGTTTGATCTCTTATTGATAGAGGATCATTGTCGTCCTCTCCACCTCCTAGCACAAATCTCTAATGTAGGTGGAAAATCTTGGAATGTGATACCTGCCTTGTTTGTATTTCTTGTATCTTTGACACAAATAGCCATAGCCTGCACATGTTCAAAATGTACTGTGATTCTTAAATCCAAATTATTTATATAAATGCTGAACAACAGTTGTCCCATCACTGATTCTTGTGAAACTCTTCTAACTTCTCATTGGTCAGAGTGACTACCTCTTTGTTTCCTGTTTTGTAGCCTGTTTTAGCTGCCTATCCAATTTGCTACTTATCCCAAGTTTACATGTTCTCATCTTGGTCATAAGCCTCAGCTGACTTTTTGAGCTGCTAGAGACTTGAAGTATGGGTACCCTCAAAATATTGGTAGGGGCAGTTGCAGGATTTTGACTCAGTGATAGTGAAGAAACAGTGATATAGTTCCAAGTCAGGATGTTATGTAGCTTGGAGGGAAATTTGCTGTAAGTAGTGTTTCCTCACATCTGCTATTCTTGTCCTTCTGGGTGGTAGATGTTGTGAGTTTGGAAGGAGCTGTCAAAGGAGCCTTGATAAGTTACCACAGTGCATCTTGTAGACAGCACGCTCCGCTGCTGCTGGGTGTCAGTGTTGAAGGTAGTGAATGTTAAAGGTAGTTGGAAAGCAAACTAAATGGGCTGATTTTTCTGGATGATGTCAATCCTTGTTACGTGTTGTTAGAAACACACTCAACCAGAGAAGTGGAAAATATTCCATTATATTGCTGGCAGATGGTAAATAGACATTGGAGAGACAAAATTTGTGTTACCACAGCATTTCTAGGGTCTGAACTGCTTTTGTACCCACAGTATTTACAAAGTTGGTCCGGGGTTCAGTTTCTGGTAAAAGGTCACTCTCAAGATTTTGACAGCGGGCAATTCAGTGACAGTGTTGTCATTAAGTCAAGTGGAGATGATTAGATTCTTTCTTGTTGGAGATGGTCATTATCTGGCACTTGTGTAGTTTAAATGTTACTTGCCATTTGTCAGCTCTAAATTGGATCTTATCCAGATTTTATAGCAAATGCGCACATGCTGTTTGAATATTTGAAGAGTCAGAAATGATGATGAACATTGTGAAATAGTCAGTGAACATCTCCATTTCTGACCTCATGACGGACAGAAGGTCATTGATGAAGCAGCTGAAGATGGTTGTGTGTATGGCATATTGTGAGGAACTCCTGCAGAGATATCCTGGGACTGAGATGATTTGGATCTGATTTGTCTAAAGTTTTCAAATTTTCAATTTTTTTTTACTGCAAGGCGGCGGCGAAGTAGGATGTTCCAGCTGGATCTCATCTGCTCCGCCTCTTCTTTCTCTTTTCTTCTTCTTTCTCTCAGTTCTTCTTCTTCTTATTCTCCTTCCTTTTGTCTGTTCGACTCCTGGCCTCCGGCGATGATCCCCGGTCTTCAGCGTGCAATGATTCCCAGCCTCAGATAAGTGAAGATTCCCAGCCTACGGCAACGATTTCTGGCCTCCGGAGAATGTTAACTCCCGGCCTCCAGCGAGCGGTGACCCCTGGCCTCTGGCAACGATTCCCAGCCTCCCCTGGTGCAGCTGCCTCCTGCCTGGCACAGCAGCTGCCTGGCATGGCATAGGGTCCTCCCTGCCTGGTGCAGCAGCCTCCTGGTGTGACGACCTTCCAGCCTCCTCGACCTCTCGAACTGGTGCAGCAGTCTTCTGGCATGGCGTGACGACATCCAGGCCCAGCCCAGCAGCCTCCTCCCATAGGGGCATTCCAGCATGGCGTGGTGACCTTCCAGACTGGCGCAGCATTCTCCTCCTATAGGGACTTCCACCGAGCATGGTGTGGCAACCTCCTGACCTGGTGCAGCAGCCTCACAGTGTGGCATGGCATGTCACTGGCGCAGTGTGGAGTCAGGGCCTAGTGCAGATTGGAAGCTACGTACCAGTGTGGTCTGCTGTACTGAACTTTTATTTCTGTAATGCTGGATATTTTACTTCTGTTATTGTCTAAATCTTGTAACTAAAGAACCTGTGCCTAGGTACTTTTGTATCTAAGTTAGCACTGTAATTGGCAACACATAAAAATTTCGCTATACTCATTAAGTATCTGTGACAATAAAGGCTTTTCTATTCTATTCTATTCTACAGGAAAAATGATGTAGGAAGGACAGCTTTAGATTTCTAGGGCACCAGGCTGGTCCTGGAGCAGGTTATATCATTCTAGTTGGGCGGGGATGAACATTCTCGCAGGAAAATTTGCTGGCGCTGATTGAACACCTAAAACAGAAAAGGAGTCGATTTGGTTCATCATTTCTGTGGTGGTTCACTGCAAAAATGACTTAGTTCGTCCCACTCCTCCGCCTTGTTCCTGTAGAACTACAATTTCTCATTCCTCAGGAGGAGGTCCATTTTTCTTTTCATGGTCTGCATTGTGTCTTTTTGTTTGGGGATGATATAAACTAGTTACTCAAAGGAACAGAAACCAGAGAGAAAATTCAGATAGGAGAAAATGAACCTGATAATGGGGAGTAAAAAGTAGTAAACAAAAGTGAAAGACAGCAGAAAAAATGTAAACATTAAATAGAGTCAGAATACAGAATAGTGTTCCAAATGCAGAAGACGCTCTATCTGAATGCACATAGAATTTGCAATATGGGATGTGAACAGATGACATATAGAAGCAGTGGAGTATAATCTAGTTGCCAGTCTGATTGTGGCCAGGGATGACTGAGGTTGAGAACTGAGTATTCAAGGCTATTCAATATTTAGGAAGGACAGATAAAAGGAACAAAAAATGCGATTGTACTGATAATAAGGGAAGGAATCGTCATGCTAGTGAAAGCGAATCTTGGATCAGAAAAACAAAATCTGTCTAGGTAGAGCAAAGAAATATCAAGGAATAGCAAATATTGATTGGAATAAAAGCAGAAATTGCTGGGAAAACTCAGCAGGTTTGGGACCATCTGTGCAGAGAAAGCAGAGTTAAGATTTCGGATCCAGTAACCCTTCTTCAGAACTCAAGAAAGGTTCTGAAGAAATGTCACTGCATTTGAAATGTTAACTCTACTTTCTCTCCACAAATGCTGCCAGACCTGCTGAGATTTCCCAGCAATTTCTGTTTTTGTTTCCGATTTTCAGCATCCGCAGTTTTTTTTTTGTTAAACATTGATAGTTGTTTATTCACCATCAACTATCAGTGGTAAAGTAGGGCATGGTATACATAAGGAAATTTCAAGTGAATGTAACAAAAGCAATTCAGTAATCATCGGTAACTTCAATCTGCATATTGACTGGGTAAATCAAATGAGCATGAATAGAGTGGGACAAACTCCTGGAATTATACAGTTTTCTAGAGCAATGTGTCGACAAACCATACAGGGATCTAGAATTTAGAATAGAATAGTAATTTATTGTCTCTTGTATTCTGACAATAAAAAAGGCAGAGGTATGATTCTTGCTTCAGGTGAATGTAGGGAGTGTGAAGGGTTCCAAGTTCAAACCCTGGATGAGCCCTTGTCATCTTTGACTCTATTCTTCATTTAGTGATGACATGGTGGTTCAGTGGTTAGCACTGCTGCCTCATTCAGCCAGGGACCCAGGTTTGATTCCAGCCTTGGGTGACTGTCTGTGTGGAGTTTGCACATTCTCCCCGTGTCTGTGTGGGTTCCTCTGGGTGCTCTGGCTTCTTCCCACCATCCAAAGATGTGCATGTTAAATGGATTGGCCATGCTGAATTGCCCAGTGTCCAAGCTTATGCAGGCTAGGTGGATTAGCCACGGGCAATGCGGGGTTACAAGGATAGGGTAGAGGGGTGGGATGCTCTTCAGAGGGGTCATTGTGGATTCAATGGGCAAAATGGCCTCCTTCCACACTATGGGGATTCTATGATTCTAAAATATGGTGAGAAAAGTTTAAGTCACCATTCTCTGGTGCCATTTAAAAAAAGACAGAAATTATATATATGGAACAAAATACAAAGTCCATCTTAGTTCAATTCACAGTCCCAGGGCTCCCGAAGTTGAGGAAACCCAATACCAAAGAATTTGGCATTGAGAAAGGGCTAATTAATCTTGTTCTAAAAGAACATTTAGTGAAGAGTGACCACAATATGATTAAGTTTTCCATGACATTTGAAAAAGATGTAGTTCAATCCAAACCCAGGGTGTTAAATCTAAACAAAGGGAGCTACAAAAGTATGAGGGGGCAGGTTGGCTGCAGTGGATTGGGAAAATATATTAAAAATATATGAGGGTACACAGGCAATAGTTGGTATATAAAGACTTAATACATGGTTGACAACAAACATACATTCTTTTTAGACACCAAAACCTAACGTGAAAAATGAGTCAATGTGGCTAACAAAGAAAATTAAAAATTGAATCTTATAATTCAGCAAATGATACTCAAAAATTTGTTAAAGAAAAAAATACTATATGACTATAAACTTGCAAGAAATATAACAGAATGTTAAAACTTCTACAAGTACATAAAAAGGAAAAGATTAGCAAAGCCAAAGTGAGTGCATTACAGGCAGCATAATTTAAAATGGCAAAAGGGAAAGGCTGAAAAGCAAAGTAATTATTTTGTGTCTGTCTTCACAGAAGAAGATACAAGAAATCTTGAAAAGATATTAGAAATCCAAGGCATTTTTGAGAATGAGGGACTAAAAGAAATTAGTTTTTGTAAGAAGTAACACTGGAGAAATGAATTGGGCCTCAAATGTGACAAATACCCAGGGCTTGATGATCTACACGCCATAGCATTAAAGCAAATGGAATAGAGATAGTGAGATAATATGTGTTGATATGTTTTTATATGATTTATATGTTTTACACATCGCAATGCATCCCAACATGCTGTTGCTCTCTTTAACAGTCTGGAAACATTATTTATTGTGATCCTACCTTGTGTATTTTTCCTTCTTCTGTGCCCACTAGAAACAAGTTTTCCTTCTGTTTATGGAAGTCAAAGGAAGTTCCACATCCTACAAATATATAAAATGTGAAGGGTTCAGATTTGAAAGTTTAGAGATTTTGCTAAACCCTTTTTCTAATTGGCATGGCTGGAAAAAAATGTCATATAAAGACACAAATTATGAGCAAGAGTAGGCTTTTTTGCCCCTTAAACATGTTCCGCCATATGTTAAGATCATGGGTAGTATGTTTGTGGCCTTAATGCCACTTCTCTGTCTGCCCCTTAAAACCTTTGACTCATCTGTTCGTCAATAATCTATTTATCTTGGCCTTAAATATATTCACGATGTTGCCTTATGACCACAGATTCACGACTATCAGGGAGAGCAAATTTCCCCTCAACTTGGTCTTTAGTGACAGACCCCTTCCTTTTAAAGCATGTCACCTATTTCTGGTCTCTCACACAAGGGGAAACATCCATTCAACATTCACCCTGTCAAGTCCTCTCGGGAGCTTATGGTTCCAATTTTCAAAACTTTGGTTCTGGCAAGGAAGGTGGTATGAAAGGCAAATAATTGGGCAAATTAGCCTAAATTGGACAGATTAGCAATTAAATGTTGGGAAAGAACATCCGCTGGGGTCATTTAATGGTGAATTAAATATTTCAATGTCGCCACTGGCCCGATTACTTACATTTCTGGCTGACCATCTGAATCTCTTAAAAACTAGGAGCTGCTGCCCTCTAATTGGCTGGCAGCTTCTGGTGAGGTGGAACATCATCACTGAGGCCCATGATTTACCAAGCAGGCACCAATCTGTTTGGAACTACCTGAATGGAACTTGATCCAGTGAGCTTTTTAGGTGGCAGCAGAGAGTCATAGAAACATTGAAAATAGGACAATGAGCGGGCCATAGCTGATCATCCAACTGACTACCCTGTTCCTGCTTTCTTCCCATATCCTTTGATCCCTAGTGTAACAACTAAAATAGGGGCATGATTATAAAGCAGGTACAGGAGCAGAAGGACCTGGGAGCACAAGTACACAAATCATTGAAGTGGCAGGACAGATAGAGCAGTTGATAAAGCATACAAGGTTCTCAACTTTATTAATGGGAGCACAGAGTCTCAGATCAGGGAGGTGATTTTGAATTTGTTCAAGATACTTCAGATGACCTGTTGTATGCAGTTACGGGTGCCACATTATAAAAAGGATGTGAATGCATTGGAGAGAGTGCAGAAGTAATTTACAAGAATGGTTTCATGAATGGTTTCAGTTATGAGGACAAATTGAAGAATTTGGAACTTGGAGAGAAGAAGGCTTAGAGGATATTTGTGAGGGGTACTCTAAATCATGACTGGGCTGGATAGAGTAGCTAGGGAGAAGCTGTTCCCCCTTTTCTCTCTTTTAAAAGAGAAAAGAAAATATTTTCATACAGCGAATATTTAAGGTATGGAATGCACTGCTGTGGTGGAAGCAGGTTCAACTGAGGAATTCAAAAGGTCATTGGATGATTATTTACAGAAATGGTGTGCAGTGATATGGGAAATGGGCAGGAGATTGGCACTAGGTTACAGAACCGGTGCAGGCACAATGGACTGAATGGTCTTCATCTGCATTATATAATTCTGTGATTCTGTGAACTATATCCAACTAAATCTTGAAAATATTCAATGTTTTGGCCTCAATTGTTTCCTGTAGTCGAGAATTCCACAGGATCACCATTCTGTGTAATGAAATTTCTCCTCATCTTAATCCTAAAGCCTTACCCCGTTTCCTTAAACTGTAATTCCCGGTTCAGGACTCCCTGATCATTGGAAACATCCTTCCTGCATTTTCCCTGTCTAGTCCTGTCAGAATTATATAGATTTTTGAGATTTTCCCAATTCTTCCAAATTCCAGTGAATACTGTCCTAACTGATCCAGTCTCCCTTCATACATCAGTTCTGCTTTCCCAAAAATCAGTCTGGTAAACCTGCATTGCAATCCTTTCATGGCCAGAACATTCTTCCTCAGATAAGGTGAGCAGACTTGGTCTCAATACAGCAAGTGTGGTTGCACCAAGGCCAGAAAGATATCCCTGCTTCTGTACTCGAATCCTCTAGCTGTGGAGGCCAATATACTATTTGTTTTCTTCACTGCCTGTTGCATGCTTACTTTCAGTGTCTGGTGTACAAGGACACCTAGGTCTTCCTGCATCACCTTCTTTCCCAACCTATCACCATTCATATAATAATCCACTTTATGGATTTTACTACCAAAGTGGATAACCTCATATTATACTTCAACTACAGTGCATTTGTCCACTCACTCAACTTATTAAAATCACAGTGAAGCATCTCGGCAACCTCCACACAGCTCATCTTCTCACCCAGCTTTTTGTCTTCTGAAAACGTGGAGATATTACATTTAGTTCCCTCATCTAAGTCGTTAATATCTGTTCTGAATTGCTGGGGTCCTAACTGATCCTTATGGTACCCCACTAATCACTGTGTCTAACTAATGCCTGCAACTCAGGAAAAGACTTTTTTACCCCTAATCTTTGTTTCCTGTCTGTCAACTAATTCTCTAATCATGTTAGTACATTATCCCCAATCCCTTGCACTTTAATTTTACATTCTAATCTCGTGTGAAACCTCATCAAAAGTCTTCTAAAATTGCAAACAAACCATATCCACTGGCTCCCTCTTGTCAACTTCACTAGTTATATTCTCAAAAAATTCCTGTAGATTTGTCATGCATGATTTCTCTTTCGGGAATCCATGCTGACTCTGTCAAATCCCGTCGCTGTTTTCTAAGTGCTCTGCTATTGAATTTTTAATAATGGATGCTGGCATTTTTCCTACTACCAATGTCAGCCTAATCTGTCTCTAATTCCATTTTCTCCCTAACTTTTTAATTAAAATAATGGGGTTACTTTCTCTACTCTTCAACACATAGGAACTGTTCCAAAGTTTACAGAATTTTGAGATATGACCACCAATGCATCCGCTATTTCTGGGAATGTATCAGCCTTTAATCGCATCAATTTTCCCCACACCATTTCCCTAATAATACTGATATCCTTCGGTATTCTTTTAGATTAATTCACAAGATGTGGGTGTTGCTGCATGGATCAGCTTTTATTGTCTATCCTTAATTGCCTAGAGGGCAGTTAATAGTCAACCACGTTGCTGTGGGTCTGGAGTCATGTGGAGGCTAGACCAGGTAATGATGGCAGTTTCCTTCCCTAAAGGATATTCACGGAACAATTGGACTTTTTTCTGATAATTGACAATAGTTCCATGGTCATTATTAGTTTCTTGATTCCAGGTTTTTACTGAATTAACATTCCACCATCTGAGATGGTGGGATTCAAACCTAAGTACACAGAACGTTATCTGGACCTCTGGCTTAATTGTCTAGCAATAATACCACTCATCCATCATTTCTCTCTCAATAGACCCTGCATCTCCCAATATTTTTAGGACATTATTTGTATCCTACTTTTTGAGGACAGAACAAAATATGTATTGTCTGCCATTTCTATGTTCCTTATTATAACTTCCCCTGGTTCTATATGTAAGGGATCTACATTTGTTTGAACTAATTTTTTTCTGTTCACATACCTACAGAAACTTTTACAATCAGCTTGTTACAATCAGCTTGTGTTGTTCCACACAAGCTTACTATCACGCTGTGTTTCTCCCTCTTAATCAATCCCTTTATCCTCCTTCGCTGAAATCCAAACTGCTCCCAATCCTGAAGTCTGCTGCTTTTTTTTTAAGCCAAATTGTATGCCCTGTCGTTGAATCTAATACTATCCCTAATTTTCCTTGTTAGATATCGTCAGGCCACTTTTCCAATTTTATTTTTGTGCCAGACAGAAATGAACAATTGCTGCAGTTCCTCCATATAATCTTTAAATGTTTACCATTGCCTATCCACTTTGAGTAAAGTTCACTAATTTATCATAGCTTGTTCACACCTCATACCATCATATTTTCATTTATTGAAGTTCAGGAACTTTGTATCAGAATCAACTACGTCACTCTCCATCTTAACAAAGTAATCTATTGTATTATAGTAACTCTTACCCAAGCGACTTCGTACAGCGAGACTGTCAATTACGCCTTTCTGATTACACAAAACCCAGTCTAGGATGGCCTGTTCTCTAGTTGGTTCCTCACTATATTGATCCAGAAAACAATCCTATACACACTCCTGGAATTCCTCCTATATGGTATTGTTACTGATTTCATTTGCCAAATCTATATGCCAATTAAAGTCATCAATGATTATGGTTGAACCTTCAGCGTTTGCACTCTAATTTCTTGGTTTATGCCTTCTCCAACATTACCACTACAGTTTGGGAGTCTATATACAAATTTCAGAATTGTTTCTGTCCCTTGGTCAATTGTCACTGAACATGCTCACCCTGACACTTCGTGCTTTGAAAATTAAATCTCAAATATAGATTTTCAATACCTCTCATTCTTCTAAACTTCAATGGATATAGGCCCAATCTGTCCAACCTTTCCTTATAAAATAAGCCCTCATCCCAGGAATCAATTAAGTGAACCTTATTGCAAATCTCTTCTAATGCAATAATGTTCTTTAATTAACTTAAATCCTGTCACTTCAACAGAAAGAAATAAGACAATGCTGGATTTTTTTTTGATAGAGAACTCTATTATTGGCACAATGAAGTTAATAATAATTCAGACCTTCAATGGCATTGGTCAATGGCATATCCCACAGACCAACCATGTAATGCTAAATAAATTCGAGGACAGATGCCATTGCTAAGATCGAGGCATGGTATCTGCAAATTAGTGGCCTGAAACTTCTGAAACCACTGTAAATAAACTTTTAAAATGTTGATATCAGCAGGAAAAACTTAGTAAATACTGTTAAAAAAAAGGCAGTGTTTCGTGATATAAAATATACATTATTTTAATATTTTAAGATGATTTATTTTAGAAATTGCATTTTTAACTAGTGGTATGTGGGACATATTTATGTCTGTGTGTGTGAAGGAGTTTAACGATTAACTTACAAGGCTTTCTGAATCCATGGTTTGTTGGAAAAAAATGTGAAAAGTGTAGTTCTTGTCTGTTATTTGCAATTTGTTTACATTGGGAGACCTTTTTTCCAAGTGAACAAAGTAAACAGTGCATTAGGTTTCAGTTATCAGCTGAATTTGTGATTGCTATACAATCGTGCCGTGTAAAGCCTTACATCTTTGAAGCAAAATGTAATCAATGGCTGTTTGTTAGCAATTAATTATTTGCTAGATGATATGATTAAAAATTAGGACTTACCCATAATTTGCAGTTGCAAATTTTCCAGTGCATCCTTGCAAATTCCATCCATTGTCAGTTTGATAATATCTGTATGAACAATTTCATCCTGGAAATAGGAAGAATATTCTCTAGTGACTTTAGTGACTGTTTTTAAAACTAAACTTTAATCATTTAATGTGGGAAAACACAGGTTGTATTTTAAAAGTTTTTTCAGTCTCTTCTACACTATGGGTGAGATTTTGCCCAGGTGGGGCATCTGGGTCAACTATCCAGTTGGGGAAGGCAAGATTCTCCAATGATATTGTCAGGAGGAGGCAATTATGAATTGTTACAAATGAGAAAGAGCCAATTAAGGACAACAGCCAGTCTAACCAGAGAACCAGCAACTTTGGAGCCTCACTAATGCTACTGAGTGGCTGCTGCTAAGGCAGCAAGATTGTAAGCGTACCTCAAAATGGAGATGTTCATGATCATTGTGCACATTTTTAAATGGGGCAAGCAGACAGCCTCAAAGAATGATAACACTCCAGCAGTACAATTGAGGCTACTGGACCAGATTTTGGTTCAAGAGGTTCTGTCCCTGGGCTATGGAAGCTTTGATGACACCCCAAACACATGCCCCACCATCCCTGGAAACCTGTGGGAGGATGCCTCCATGTAGCTGCCTACTTCTTTCCACAGTGAAAATTTCAGAATCAGCACACCCAAAATCACTTCCCAGATTGACAGTTCTGCAGACCATAGACACATTGAAGAGCTTTTACTACTACTGCAGAAGTTTGTAATGCCCTCACCACAACACATTGTGTTATGACACAAAAGGATCAGTTTGAACTCTGTATTGAGTTTGATTTTTCCAGCTATGTGAGTCACTACATTCTCCCACTGGCCAGGGTGGCATTTATTTGAATCTCAGGCATAACCTTCTGGGATCCAGGTGTCACTTGGTATTTTTAACAGTCTAAAGAGTCTCTAACTCCAGGAAAATCAGAGCGAATGTGTCTTTAAAAATCCCCTCCTTTACAAATTAACAATTATTTTATACTAGTTAATGATTTCCAATAACTTCCCATCACTGACAATTGGCTGATTGGTTTATTTGCTGTACAGAAGCAAACTATTGCATTTTCCTAAAATTTTTGCTTTGTTTCAGATTTTGAGTAGTCATAGTTTTTAGTGATTTAGTGATGTAACATTCTCATAATGCTACCAACTTGTAGCAAGTTAACAATCCTGTCTTGACTGCCGAAAAATAAAATCTGTAGGAAAACACTTGCCTTAATTAAAGCCCAAGAAACAACCCGTCCATCTGATGAGACAGAACAGAAGTTGATATTGTTGTCCAGGTCATCTTTTTGCCACTTCACCTGGAAAAAGTAAGTAATATTATGACCAAGGTTGCAGGAATGCACCACTTCCTTTGTAGTCCCAATCTTCCACTGGTCAAAACGAATTTAGCCAGTGTTCCAGACTGGTATTACAGCCAATTATGTAGTTTTAAACTATCCGGTTTTGTATTAGAAACAATTCAGCCAGGTTTCTTACAAAATAAACTTAATTAAACAAACTGTGCAAAGAGATGTGATTTATATTCTAAAATCCCAAAGTCAACCTGAAGAAAATAAGCATAACTAACAAACAGTAGCTGAATGCTCCACAGACACATCAAATTCCAAGTGCAACTAAACACATTACCCAGATGTCAATGACACTGTCATGTTACCAAATCACATTAAATCTTCACAGGAGAGTAGGATTCTTTACTCAGAATGACCTGGCCGTACATCTGCTTGCATGCCATTCCACCATCTTGAGGTCCACTTTTCTTTCCTGGGCCTAAACTTCCTGGATTATTAAAAACCGCATCCAGCATAAGCACAACTCCTGCCTTGCACAAACAGCTAGCTTCATCCAGCTAGTATAGCTGCTTAATAGTGTTTTCTGAGCTCTAATCTGTTCAGTTGCACAAAGCAAATGCTTTTTTTTTGTGAGTTTAAAGCCCACTCTCTGTTGTATTGAATTATTAATTGTGTACCAGCCATTTTTGAACACTTTGCAGCTACTAGGACTTCTCTGAGACCTCACGACACCAGAGCTATTCAACTGCTTTAGCACTTTACTGAATCTCAACTACACAGAACCAATTCAATTCATTTGTCATCAGCAACACTGTTAACAGCAGTCCTGCCTAACATGGAGTTTGTTTTGCTGTCATGCACAGTCTTTTTTCTAGCCTCACTCCCTGCCACCTTTTGAGCATTTTTCTTTCTAATTTTCCTTCTAGTTGCATCGGTCTGTGATACTCGTGCACAGCAGCAACTTCCAGAACTTGAAGTCTATGCTGCAATCAATATACTGATGCTGATTGCCATGTGCAAAATAGAGGGAAGAGAACATTTGAACTTGTCTTTAATGATTCCCAAACTGTCTTGAGTCACCTATTGGAACCAGTACCAACAGGCTCTGTGCCTTTTGCTGGGCAGAACTGAATAACTAATATTTTATAGTCAAATAGTTAAACGTGGTCTCCTTGGAAAATATCTATACCCCTGAATATTACAATGTTCACAGAGTGCTGGCACCTTGCATTACAATAAATTTTCACAACTACAAGTGTTAGTTGTATATAGCAGTTAAAAATGCAAACAGACATACATGCAAAACATTTATTATCTCGTACAAGGTTTTGCTTCTTTGATATTTTTCAATCATGATACTTATTATGCAGTGTAGCAAAGAATATAGTTTTTTTGTTTGTACATCATGTGACTGAACAACCTATAGTTAAAGATAATGACAGCTATCTAAACTAGAATCAGTAACATTTATATAGATTGCGTGAGATAACGGTAAGAGGGAGTCGTCAGGAGAAACTATGGCAGAAGGAGTTCAATTTGCTATAATTTGATGTTATTCATTTTGGATTTGATGAAGATGATTCAAAGTATTACTGTATGATGAGGACAAGGTGCTACAGAAGAACAAAGATTTTGTTGTTTATGTACACAGGTCACTAAGACTACCCTGTCGGTACAAAAAGTAATTAAAGAGACTAAAAGCCTTTATCTCAAACGTTTTGATATTCAAAAGTGAGGACATGATGATTCAGTTGTACACAGTCATCTACAGTATTGCTTTCAGTTTTGGACAACTATCCTAAAGCAAGAAATATTCAGCAAGTCTGGCAGAATCTATGGAGCAGAAACATTGGAGATCTGTGAACTTCTATCACAATGAAAATATATATTGGCCTTGAATTGGTTACAGGGCAGATTAAACAGACTGACTCATTCTGTCCACATGGCTATGGCAGTTTTAATCCTTCATGTCCTTCCACTCTCTTCATTTAACCCCAACAATAGATCCTTTGATTCCTTTCTCCCTTAGAGGTTTATTGGTGTTTCCTGTGAATGCACCCACACTAGTTACCTCAATCGGTCTTTGTGGCAATTATTTTCCAGGTAAACATGTTTTTCATTTCCTTTTGGATTTATTAATGTCTATCTTATACTTATGGATTCTAGCTTTTCACCTCGCCCACAAGTGAAAACATTGAAGTTCAAAAGATTTGAAGAAGTAGACGGGGTTCTGTTGCTGGATCATTATTGTTCCCTCAACCAAGGAAAACAGGATCACAAATGATTAATACATTTAATTAACATTTACAAAATAATGATGCTCTTCCAATCTCTGTAGAGGCTCATAACAGTTTAATGCAAAGTTATTAGCCAAAAGGATGATACATCAGGATTTAACATTTGAAATTAAATTTTACTTTATTAACGATTAGAGAATAAACACTCAAAATTAAACAATATTTTATTTTTGTAGGCAACTTATAATTTAAACTAATGAATAGAATTTACCACTTGCTACTTTTACTGACAACCAAAACCCCAACTTTGTTTACATTACTCAATCTTTTAAGCAGAAATTCACTCTCTGGGAACCAATTCAAAATGTTGTACAGCCCCCAAGAGTTATCATGCAGTTTTTTATTTCTCTCAATTTCTTTTATTTCCAATTTGTTTCTCTCTTCTGCAGTAAAAGCTTTCCTGGGGATTTTCTCATTGGCTTCAGCTTGGTGAAATTTCAGCCATGTTTTAACTCCTCACAAGCTTGGTCTTCAATCTGACTGCAAGTACCTACCATCATTCCATGAGGAGAAATTTCTTCACTCAGAGTGGTGAATCTGTGCAATTCTCTGATGCAGAAAGAGTTTGTGGCCAAACATTGATCCCTTCAGCTCTAAGAACTGTACCTCCTTCTTGAAAGCATTTAATCAAGGGACATCGGGAGAAAGTGGGAACATAGTACAAAGTTGAATGATCAGCCAAGATCATGGGGCTGAATGGCCTGCTTCTACACTGTAGGGATTCTATGATTCTATGATATAGTAAATGGCAGAGCAGGCTCGACAGGCCAGATGGCCTACTCCTGCTCCTATGTTCTGTTACTATGTTGGTACCATCCCATCCAAAAGGACCTCCAGGTTAATGTTGCAGAACGGGGCACCGATTTTCCCTGATCTGCCATGTCTGGAGCAAATGTCAGGAATCATGCAGGACAACTCTGGATGGGCAGTGCTTATCCAGGTGCACAATGAATTTTTAAAGAGGGTGTGGACATGAGGGATGCAGGTGAATTCTGGTATTTCTGCTGAGTGGTGAGTTGTTATTGGAACAGCAAATGGAAAGAAGAGAGTGCAAATCGAATATGGGAGGTGCCATAAGGACTTGGAAGGAAATTAATGAGGTAAAATTGGTGAGATAAGGTGAGAAATCTTGTTAGAAATCTCATGGCAGAAAATCCTTCAAAGCAAACCGCAACTCAGACTTAGCCAAAAAAAAAGTAAGATTTGGCAGGATGTTTCAAGTTGATGGCATTTCACCAGAAATTAGAAAAGTTAGAAATGCAATAGGTTTGAGGGTGATGATTTGGAAGAGGATGGAAAAGGACAAAGGGAAAGTCTGGGATAGGATAGAAGAACAATCCAGGGTTAAAAGTGCAGTGCCAAAGGAATTAGTGATGGAGCAAGAGAAGAAACAAATCAACAAAAGATAACACAACAATCAGTTCTGAAGAAGGGTTATTGGACCTGAAACATTAACTCTGCTTTCTGTCCACAGATGCTGCATCCACAGTTCTTTGCTTTTTTTTCAATAAAAGATATGACAAGAGAAGGTCAGCTGTCATCCAAAAGCAAAATCAAGAGAAAAACTTAAACATGCAAAGAAAAGGAAACAAAACAGGGGCAGAAATTATGGTCTGAAATTGTTAAAGTCAATATTAAAAGTTGAGGGACTGTGCCTCAAACTCACGTTGAGCTACATTGGAAAATTGTAGTAGGCCAAGGACAGAGAGGTCAACATAACAGCAAGGTGAGAATTAAAATGGTAGGCAACCTGTTAGCTCATGATCGTGTTTCTAGGCAGAATGGAGGATGTATGAACTGGTCAACCGATTTCCCTTTGGTCTCTTCAACAATACATAAGAAGTTCGGCACCATCCAGGTCAAAGTAGCCTGATTAACTGGCACTTTACCCATCACCTTTTGATATTTACTTCCTCCACCACTGACATACAGTGGCAGCAGTGAGTACCATCTACAAGGCCAACTGCATCAACTCACCAAGGCCAAGTTGTCAAAACCTTCCAAACCCATAACACTTTACTTTTTACCAGCTGCAAAGACAGGTACAGCAAATGCATTGAAACAACATGACCTGCAAGTTCCCTTACAAACCACACGTGCTCCTAATTTTGAACTATACTGCCATTCCTTCAGTGCAGCTGGGTCAAAATTCTGGAAATCTTTTCCTAGCGGGACTGTGGATGTACCTATACAATAGGGACTGCAACAGTTCAAAAGGTGGTTCATTACCACAATTATGAGTTCAACTTGGGTTTGGCAATAAATGTTGGCCTAGCCAGCATCACCTACATCCTAACAACAAATATGTCTATTTCTGAATATTAAGTGAAATTGAAGAATTTTGAGAGGCATTAAGTTAATTTGAACCTTTTTTATTATTTGAAATGAGGGCACCATTTTATTACCATTCTCTAACAGCCAGCATTTAGTGTCCATCCCTAACTGTCCTTCAGAAGATCAAAATTATCTACCTTCTTGATCCACTGCACATGTGACAGTGCTGTGAGATAGGGAATTCTAGAATTTGAACCTAGGGACAATGAAGAAATGGTGATGTGCTTCAAGTCATGACAGTGTATGAGCTGGAGGAGAAATGAGAGTTTGTTCTGTTCCTTAGAACCTGCTGTCCTTCAACTTTTAAGCAATAGAGGTTTCAGGTTTGGGAGGTATTAATGAAGAAGCTTTCGCAAATAGCTGAGGTGAATCTTGTAG